CACCCTAGACTGCCCTGGGAGTCCTCTGAGGCATCATAAAGGATACTGGGGGTCACTGGAAGGCCTTCCAGGGGAGCTAGAGGGCACTGGGTGGCTCCGGTAGACCTACGGAAGATCTAGAACGCAGCAGAGGCCCAGAGGCGGCTCACATCGTTCCTGTGATTGCACTAGAAAGCCCTGCAAAGCCACTAGATTCCAGGCAGTGTCCTTGTTTTGCTTCTAGGCTTCAACAGCATGCTCTTAGGACACCCTGTGTGCTGTGGTAGAGGTGCACATAGATGGAAAATTGGAAAAACTTCACCTACATGTGCTCAGCATTCAGCCTGGGGGAGAGGTCTCCCACAATACCCATGTTGAGGTGATCGGACCCCAGGACTCAGAACTGGCTGCAAACAGGTTTAAAGGGTTCTGGTTGGAGTGGTGGTGGCACGTCTAGGGGCGATCAGCAAACAAGCATAAAGCAGCATCACAGTGGCTGCAAGGACTGGGGCACCACCCAGCATACATCTGCCATCAAGAGTGGGTCTGGAAAGCAGCCTAAATGGATGGGGTTAAGCCTGCAGAGATGAAAACTCCAGCATTTGCTGATGTGAGATGAAGCAGCCAGGACAGGTTTGAGGGCACAGGAATAATAAAAGACAGAGCTTTGGGTCTCCTCTTTGGGGCTGCTCACTTCCCTACACCCTCCACCCTCCTTCCCCATATGGAAGGGGCACCCTACTCGTGGATGATGGTGGATCCCCCAAACCGACATCATTTCAAGTTATGTTCCCCAGAGTAGTGTCGTCACCCCCCACACACACACACGCACACACACACCGATTTGCTATTTATCCCACCTAGCTTTTAAAATGAGCTTTCAATAAGATGCACAGCTTCTTCTCATTGGGACCCCTATCCCTGGGTCTGTTTAAGAGTTATGTGGACATGGCACTAGGGGATGTAGTTTAGTGATGAGACTTGGAAGGTCATGTTGATGACTCGATGATCCTGAAGGTCTGCTCCAACCTAAGTGATCCTATGATTGTCACTATCGCCTCCTAAATGACCTCAATGGAAGATTTAAACCATATTGGGTTGGGGTCAGAAGCCCTGAGTTACAGAGCAGGGCTGGAAGCACCAGTGGTTTCTTAATATCTCAGTAACAAACTTCTCCCACAGGCAACTTTTCAGCATATATCACCTTTTTTGTAGTATTAACAAGCCCCCCCCCCCCCCCCGGAAAAAAAAAAAATATATATATATATATATATATTATATATATATATATACACACATATATATAGCAAATGACAGGCTCCATGTGTCAGAAAGAGATCCTTACCACAATCCAGCTTGTGAACCTGAAAACCAAAGAAGAAAATCGTGGCACAAGCCAGGACAGAGCTGCTGAAAGGGAGGCAGGAGCAAATCAACATCTTCACATCCACCTTCACTGGGGAGAGGTGAACAGCAAAAAAAATGTATATATAAATCAGTGAAATGAGCTGAGCATGGTGCAAAGAACCATGCTCAGATTTTCCTAGAGGAAACTTGCTTGCAAGAACCTGCAGAATGAGGCAATTGTTTAAATAAATAAAATAAAATAAATAAAATAAAATAAAATAATAAAATAAAATAAAATAAAATAAAATAAAATAAAATAAAATAAAATAAAATAAAATAAATAAAATAAATAATAAAATAAAATAAATAATAAAATAAAATAAAATAAAATAAAATAAAATAAAATAAAATAAAATAAAATAAAATAAAAAATAAAATAAAATATGGTTGGATTGGGCCGGTGAGATTTGTGTCCAAGCCGTGCTGACAAGGAGGTCAGGTAGCTCCTCCTCCATGGGCACCATTCCCACCTTCCCAAGGGAAAAATAAATAAATAAATAAATAAATAAATAAATAAATAAATGGTGTTCCTGGTCCTACAGACTGGGCACTGCTCTCACATCTCTGCAACGGCTCCCTTGGAAGGGAGTTTTTTGTGGGAGAAAAAAAAAAAAAAAAACAGCTCCAGTTTATGATGCTCCTTAGAACAAGGGGGAAAACCTGCAATTGAAATAATCTTTAAGAGGGTAGGGTATACAAAGAAGAAAAGCCTTCTTCTCACTCCTGTGTTTCTCCGAGATGTGGTGGCACCAGGTAAAGCTGCCAAATAAGGGTCATAATTATTTTGGGCGGACACACACCTAGGAGGAGGGTGACCTGTGATAGATGCCACAGGACACTACCTAATTGGTTGCAGCTTGAAAGTAACTCATCCCAGATTCAGGCTGGGCTAGGGACTCCTATTGCTGGGGATCCCCAAACCCTCTATAGCTGTTTGAACACACACACACGCACACACACACCAATCCTACATATAAACTGGGGGTCCTTCTAGCCCCAGGACCCTGCTGTACCTCTCCTGAACCTATCCATGCTGCTGCTCCTCAGGATGGAGAAAGTATCGCCGCTTGGGCCTGCAGTCCTGCCCCCCTTGCAGGTTGCTGGGGCCTAAGAAGGAGAGGGGTCAGAAAATCCCAGAGGCTGTGAGGGCATAGGCTAGCTCCTGCCCGCTTCCACAGTTCACTAAAATTGCCTTCTGCTTCCTGCCTTCTGATCACAAAGGGTGGAGCTGAACCTGAGATCTGCAAACCCACAACTCACAGGAGCCTCAGAGACACCTTCCCAAGGCCAAAACCAAAACCTCTGAGCTCAAACTGACTCTTCTGCATCCAGATCTCCCTCTAGAGCACCATTTCTGCACACCCAACCCAGCAGAGCAGAGGAGAATCCTTCCCCAGCACAGGGGCATCCCGCAACATTGGGGCACCTGTAGCACCCCAAAACCTTCATGCTGCAGGGTGTACATTGCTCCCACTCACAGCACGTGCTGAAATTAGGGAGGCTGAATTTAGGAGCAAAAAGCAACCAAGATGTTATATATATATTTATATAAATATAGGTTTTCAGCTGTGATTTTTAATTCTCTTTTAAAAAATAATTATTTTTCCCCTATGCCCTCCATATTTTTCCATATGCTATTTTAGCTATATTATGTATTTATTTATTTATTATTATTTAAGCTTAATAGCTATAGGGCTGTTTTTCCATATGCCTTCTCCCATTGCAGGCATCACCTTTGCAAACATCTTTTCTGCTGGCATTTCTCCTTCCTCAAAGCAGGAGGCATACACAGACACAGGATGTGGTTTCATTTGGGGGCAGCAGGCAGCAGAAAGCATTTAAAAGCAGTGATGAGTTCAGAACATCAGCAAATAGCAGGGGACTAGCTATGAGCTCCTTCTAAAGCAAACACACTTGCAGAAGTGGGCATGAGTCCGAGCATGGCCGGCTGCTCTGAATGATGTGAACTATCTGAACAAACCTTGCCCCATTCCCTGTGACCTCCCCTTGTGCTTCATGCAAGAAAATGAGAAAATGCCACTCCAAGAGGGTTAAATTCTTACAGCCAGATGAAGCAAGTGGTAGTTTCATTTCTCATGTCAGCCTTCCCTCGTTTGCTTGCTTTGCTTTCATCCACACTTCTGTCTATGTTTAATCTCAGCCAAGCAAGACTCGGTGCCTGCCAGCTGCTCTGATCAAAGCATCAGGCAAGGAGCACATCCAATGTGTGGCATATTTAGGATGGGTGACGAGGTTGTGTGCCAAACATGCCTTCTCCCAGGCAGCAAGAAGCAAGTACTCCTCAGTGAAAACCTTCGTCTAGGGTTTTCTGCTTGCAGATCATCTCCACAAGCCACAAAACGGTTTTCTAGAGCCTTGTATCAGATTAATAAGCAGGCTCAAAAAGTGCTGGAAGGGGAATAAATGCACCAAGACACACACAACATTTCTGCATTGCTGAGTTCCTCTTGGTTTGCACCCTTGACTCCATCTTATCCTACATTTAGGACTACAGACCACGTCCACATCCTGTATAACATCAGATTTTGGATGAGGGTCCCTCAGAGCCCTCAGAGCCCTCTTTTCCTCATTGCAGGGAAGAGTTTTCCTTTGCCACCTCCTATTTATATATATCCCAAGTATCCTATAATATCCTAAGTATCCTATAATCCCCTTTCCCTGGTCAGCAAGGATCCAGGCTAAGAGCAAGGGATGAAAGGAGCTGCTGGGTTATCAAATGAGGAGAGAGATCAAATCATGACCCATCCCAGGCAGCTGAGCTGCACAAAGATGCCTGCAGCTATCACAGAGCCTCAGACCTCGGATTAACCACAGTATTATCTTTTAGAGCAGAGGAACCAGCATACTCTCTTTGAAGCCAAGGAGGAACCAGAATATTTTGTTATTCCTGAAAGTGCATGAGTCTGGGGATTTCCTGCAGTGCTGGAGACCTTGTGCCCTGTAGCGAGCACTTTACACATCCTCGTGCCCACCAGCAGCACAGCAGCAGCAGGATGCATTGGTGCAATAAAAATGCACGGCCAAAAGTGATGTGTTAACACCTAGGTCACGCTTTTGCAGAGAAAAAATGTGGGGATGCACAGGCACATGTGCTTCTGTGCGTGCCTGGGTGCACCCATGTGTACGTGCACAACCCAGGAGCTGTAAATATTAGGGATGCAGACAATTTGTATCTCCTGCATACCTCAAAACCCCACCGTCCTGCTGTTCCCCCCAAAAACCTTCCTGCTGTTTTGGGGCTGCTGCTGATGGAGGGCATCATAGGTGGCGCACTGGGGGTCCAGCTGGGATGTAGTTAATTTTCTTCCAGCAGCCCCATGGTGGAGTGCTGGGGTAAATCAATGCTAACACGTGGACAGCTGTTTGGGGGGGGGAGGAGGAGAAGGAGGAGGAGCGGAGGGGTAGGGGGGTGGGGGGGAGGGAGGGAGGAGGAGGAGGAAGAGAGGAGGAGGAGAAGGAGGGGGAGGAAGAGAGAGAGAGGAGAGAGGGAGGAGGGGGAGGAGGAGAAAAAGGAGAAAGAGGAGGAGGAGGAGGGAGGAGAAAGAGGAGGAGTGGAAGGGTGGAGGAGGGGGAGTGGAAGGGGCGGGAGGAGAAGGAAGAGGATAAAAGAAGGAAGAGGAGAAAAGGGGGATGGGGAGGAGGGGGGAGAAGGAAGAAGGCTCTCATTGGGAGCTGCCCCCTTGGGGACCAGTGGGCAGTGGGAAGCCCGCACCGAGCACCCCAGGATCCCCAGAGCCCAGACCCAGCTCCCCGTAGCCCCCACATCCCCTGAAGCTGAAGGTGGGAGCCCAGCAGTATGCATGCTTCCTCCCCCAGATTTTCCCTCCCAGAACACTCCAGATGGGGAGGAAGAGGAGGCACCAGCCACAAGTCCCTTGGGCAGGTGGGTAGCAAGGAGGGGGGGAAATGATGGAGCTTCGACCCCAAGACACTGCCCAGCGTTGTCACCACTCCTTGATGCAGTGGCACCACACAGAGCTATGGGGCAGGCTGGATTCGGGAGTGGGAGCCCTAAAGGTGCTCGGGATCCATGGCCAAACTTTGCAGAACAGGGTTTTTGTGTCTCTGTCTTCATCCCTACAGCTGACAATGGCCTGGAGGATGAGAAAGGGGAAAAAATGGAGACACCAAACGGATCAGAGCTGTGTTCAGGACAATCCAAGGGGAACTTGGCCCAGAAGGCAAACTCAACACCACAGCACCAACCACGGTGAAGCTCCAAGGAACCAAGTGGAGAAGCGAGGCTAGAGCCCTGTGGCCACCAATCAATGAGGACGGGTGGAAGCCCAAAAGCCTGCCAGAGGGATCCCACGGTGGGGAGATCCTATAACATCAGAGAGGCCAGGAGGCCGGGAGGCACAGCATGTGGAACCTCCTATGGGTGTCCGGACTGTGGGAAGACCTTCAGCAGGAGGTCGTTCCTTGTCCCCCACCAGAGGATCCACACTGGAGATGGCCCTTCACATGCCATGAGTGCGGGAAGGGTTTCCGAGTGGGGTCGTCCCTCAACAAGCACCAGCGGATCCACACAGGGGAAAAACCCTACAAGTGCTCAGTCTGTGGGAAGAGTTTCCGCCTCAGCTCCACCCTCAGCACCCACCAAAAGGTTCACACCAGGGAGAAACCCTACACGTGCTTGGTGTGTGGGAAGGCTTTTCGGGTGAACTCGTACCTGCTGGCACATCAAGCCACCCACAGTGTGGACAACCCCTTGCAGTGTCCCGCCTGTGGGAAGCACTTCAGCGTGAGGAGGTATCTGGCCATCCACCAGCGGATCCACATGGGAGAGAAGCCCTTCAAGTGTCCAGAGTGCAGGAAGGGTTTCAGCCGAAGATCCGTCCTCATCATCCACCAGCGGACCCACACTGGGGAGAAACCCTACAAGCGCCCCGAGTGCGGGAAGGGATTCATCATGAGCTCGGACCTCACAGCCCACTGGAGAATCCACACTGGGGAGAAACCCTACAAGTGCCTCAGCTGTGAGAAAACCTTCCGCCTGAGCTCCCACCTGACAAGACACCAGCGGTGCCACACCGGGGAGAGGCCATACAAATGCACCGACTGTGGGAAGAGCTACACCGACAGCTCTGGCCTCATCAAACATAGGAGGCTCCATGCCGGGGAGAAGAAGTCGACACTCAGCACAGCTCAGGGAGCAAGGAAGAGACTCTACAAATCCTCCCGCTGTGGTAAGATCTTCAGTATGAAGTCAGCCCTCATGGTCCACCAAGTGAGCCACACCAGAGAGCGACCCTACAAATGCCCCAAGTGTGAGAAGACCTTCAGCCACAGCACGGCCCTAGGGAAACACCAGTGGGTCCACACCGGGGAGAGCCCCTTCAAGTGTCCTGACTGCGGGAAGGGCTACACTGATGGCTCCACATTGCGGAGGCACCAGAGGAGCCACACCAAGGTGAGACCCTATAAGTGTCCCGGCTGCGGGGAATGCTTCAGCGTCATCTCTGCTCTCCTGAAGCACCAGCGGTTCCATACCAAGGAAAGGCTTTACAGATGCCCCGAATGCGAGAAGAGCTTCCACTCCAACTTTCTCCTTGTCACCCACCAGCGAACCCACACAGAAGAGAAACCATACACCTGCCCCATCTGTGCCAAAGCCTTCAGCCAAGCTTCCCACCTTACATGGCACCAGAAGATCCACATGAGGAGTGGGGCTGGCACTGCATGGCGTGCAATGACCCCATAGCAATTCCAAGCCACGCTCAGCAGTGGCACAGGGACTGATCCAGGAATCTCAACCACCTCAAGCCCACGGTCTGCCACAAGTCATTCATCCCAAGAAGCCTTGTCCTGTATGCTGCCAGCCCAGTAAGCACTGTAGGGTACGTGCTGCTCACCCAGATGTTAACTGGAGCCCAGTATTAACCAGTTACTGGTTACAATGTGACCATGCCACCCTTCTATAGCATGACCCTTTTTTTTCTCACCCAGTCAACACGCCTTTGGGTTAAGGCTGTGACCACACTTGTATTTTAAGTTTTTTATTTATCCTTACTTCCTATTCCTTTATCCCTGAGTCCCTCTCCTACTCCCCTTCCCAAACTGACTCCTCCAATTATCTTGCCCAACTCACCCTCAGCTTCACTCCCATTGTTACCAAAGTCAGTCCCAGAAAAATCGTATGTAACCACTACTTTTGGATCATAATTTGTCCCTTAAATGTGCAGAGATAGCACTGTTACTTAGTGCATCCAGACTGAACCTTCTTGCCTCCTGCTGGCCAAGGATGGCTCTGTTATCACACTCTAATTCTGCTCAGCTTATGCCCATACAAAGATTTTACAGGGTATTTGGGGACTTTATGGTGTATCTGGGGACAGGCACAGGAGTGCTTTATAGTATTGATGCTGAAGTCCTGGCCAATAAGCTAGACACAATGACTACCTCACTGTGCAATTGTCTCATTTGCTTACAATCATCATTTAAGTTGGGAATGGGACCATAAAGGTTAACCCTTCATGAGAATGTATAGACCATGGTGACTGTGTGTTATTGCTAAATGTCAAGGGAATGTTTTCTCAGCTTTGAGCTGCCTTCAAACCCAACCGTGGGTGCAAGCTGAAACCATAAGAGAAGGTGACACCTGCTGAAATTCATGGAGGTGAATTGAACAATAGGGAAAGGTCCAAGTCACTTGGCCAAAGGAGCCCTGATAACCATGGTCATGTAAGTCTTTCCATGCCCAGATATTAATTTTAGTCCAGAATTAGTGAATTATTGGATTTTCTGTTGTTTCAAGCCAGAAAATTGTGCTACTGTTTCTCATAATGTTATTCTGAAATAAATAGATAGTTCCTAAAGCTCTTGGTCTAGTGTCTTTTACCATATCCCAAACCTATAGCTCAGCAGGGCTGTCTCAAGCCCCCACAGCCTGGCTGGGGGGGGGGGGGGGGAATTCATGGCTCTGCTAATGAGCAGGGACTCAGCCGCAATAACTCATTTACTCATCTATCATGGTACCTCCAGTAGCCAGCCAACAGGTCTGCTAACTCTGGTTTCTGTGCCAAAGCTTCCAAACAGGAATCACACTGTTTGATTCTGTGCTGCATTTTTTTAGTCTGAGCTGCATTTTTTTCTGAAGAAATGCTAGATGCAGTAACTAGAGAACAAAAAGTACAAAAGTACAATTTTCTTTAACAGAATAGCTCATTCTGTAGAAAAAAAAAAAAAAAAGAAAAAAAAAGGACTCACTGCAAAGTGTCATTCAACAGCTTATGGGATGTTACAAGCTCATTAATTTCACCCCAAATCCCACACTTGTCACTTTGCTGAAGCAAAGCCACCCAAGGAAGAGCCCTATAGCCCTATAGTAGCCCCCTGCTGAGTGTAAGGAAAATAATAATAATAACACAGCTATTCCAAAATCAGCTTCAAAGTACAAAAGTAGACTTTTCCTCTTTTCTAGCATGAAAACTAAACAGAAACCATGCAGGTGGAGAAAGCAAAATGCGCTGAGCCTCTCAGCATGGCTTTGGGTGTGAAATTCCCCTGTGACTGGGGTGCAATGCACGGTCCCCACCCAGTGGACATTTGGGTAAAATGGAGGAGCTGTGAGTAGAAATGCAAGCCATGAGCCTCTCTGCGTTGATTTTCATGTGTGGTTTTTTTTTTCAGTGGGGAAAGCATCTGCTCTGTGCTTCTTTCCCAGATTTGCTGCATATTCACGGCCTTGCCTTGCAATGCTGCCAGGCACCGCTGTTCCAACTGGTTTCCACTGGAGCAACCTGATTTGGAATAGGCTGCCCAGGAAAGTGGTTGAGTCAACATCCCTGGAGGTCTTTAAAAGATGTTTAGATGTAGAGCTTAGGGATATGGTTTAGAGGAGGACTTGTTCGTGTTAGGTCAGAGGTTGGACTCGGTGATCTTGGAGGTCTCTTCCAACCTAGATGATCCTGTGATTCTGTTTTCTGGTCCCTGCAGCCAGCTCTGTGACAAGAGATGCATTTCTCAATTCCCTGTTGCATATATATGTGTGTATATATATATTGCAGATATATTTTTTTTTTTTCCCCAGCTAAATTTCCTGGGATCCAAGTGCCAGTGGGGGAGACCAGGATTTGGGACCAAAAATCTGAGTCGAGCTGCTGGAGTGATGCACCGTGTCCATAGAGATATAGGTTCCCCCAAACCCACTCCATGCAGCTCAGAAGGAGCAGGATGAGGCCAGTGGTGTTGTCTGTCTTGGTGTGGATGCTCTGTTTGACCAGACACATGTAAGTATACACACACATATATGTGCCTACTGACTGCATTTTAAACCTTGCTACCAGTTGGACCTGGGGACACAGGGTCCAATCTGTGCTGATGTGTTTTCCTCTAACAACCCCCTTCCTTCCCATCTCCTCCAGTAAATTCAGTAAATTCCCATCTCTTCCAGTAAATGTCCTGAAATTCAGAGACAAAGAGGGGAGGAATCTGGGGGGGTGAGGGGCGGGGAAGCTGCTCAAAAGAGCCCCGGAGAGGCACAGCCTGGATTTTGGCTCAGCACAAGGAACCGGGACAGGGCAGCCGGGTGCGAGCATCCTTTCAACCCCCCACCCCAAATAATTATTGACAAAACCATAAAATACTGACACCCTTCTCTTTCAGAGATGCTCCAGTGATGCTGGGAGGAAGAACTCTCTTGGGCTCTGCTGTCGCCTTTGTTTCAGGCACAGAGAGATTCTGGGCTGCCAAGCAAAGCTGCAGATGCTAATCCTGCCCTTCCAGCAAAGGGAAAAATGCACTGTGCACCGCTCCTGCAGGATTTGGTCCAAGAGCTGCCCTTAGGATAGCTCAGGGCGAGGGGACAGCGGGGCTTAAGGGTGGTTGCAGCCCAGCTGCCTGCGCAGAAGCACAGGAAGGGACAAAGTGAGAAGCTGGGAAGAGAAATGTGCAGCTCTGGGCTCAAACCAGGACAAGCCCTGAGCTGGAGCTTGCAGGTACCGCAGCTGCACTGGCCTCTCCTCCTATATATTTTTTTTCCCATCTCTTGTCCCTTTTCTGTGATGCTCCAGGAGGAACTGGGGGAAGGACATATGTCACCAGATGGAGGGGCTGGCGGAGAAGCCGCCTGAATACTGCTGGGTGGGAATATCACGCATATCCTCACTACGCAAGCCCAAAGCTCCAAAACGTGATGTCAGGGGTAGAAGCAGGCCCACAAATAACCCAATTTGGTCCAGGTTCAGCCAGACCCCCACTCCCCTGCACCCCAGGCTGTCTCCAGCACCCAGCATCTATCCTTCTCACCCAAATGCTCCTCGTTTACCACTCGCACCCATGGGCACAGGGTACCCACTGTATTGGGGGGCATTGTCCCTACTGTCACCAAATGTGAGGGTCCAGCCACATTGATTCAAGACTTTAAGCCCAGCGCAGCATGAGACACCTCCCCTTGGGGACTCCCTGGTGTGTCATCCCCTGCTGCTCAAAGCCTTGGAGATTTCTCCCCATCACAGGTGGCTGCTTTTGGGGATGGGGGACGGGTTCATCCCCACCCCATTTGGGGGAACAGCAACCATGACTCCATCAGGCAGACCCTGGTTTCAATGGGACATGGGCAACTTTTATGGGGTTTTATAATCCCAGACCAGTGCAGGAGAGGTAAGTGACTCTGGACTTACTGGGTGGCAAAACCAGGGTGACCCTAATGTTCAGAGACCCCCAAAACCCTGCAGGAATGCACATAGCTCTGAAAGCCTCCAAAAGGACCAAATCTCCTTGATTTTTCTTGGCTTTTTTTTTTTTTCCTTACCCTCTTCCCCCCTCCCCTTCCCTCCACCCAGGGAAAGGTCTGGGTTATTCACGTACCTGCTGTTTCACAAAATCCTCCCCCCCGCTTCCCCCTCCCATGCTCGCCTTCCCCTGCCAGAACTCCTCACCAGCTTCTCCTCCTTCTCTTGGGGACAATCCCAATGGAGCAGGGGGATTTGGAAGACTCATCCCAACAGGATAAGCCCAAGGAGAGGCGTCAGCATGGCATGGTGCTGAGGAGGACCGAGGTGGCCATTTGCCCGAGTGCCAAGCTAGGAGAAGACCAGGAGGAGGAACCCAGACCACAAAGACAGAGGCAAAACCATGCCGGGCAGGTGCAGGATAACCCCAGTGAAATCCATCCCCAGAAAACTGGGATCAAGGCTGGGATGTGCCCCAAGGAAAAAGTGTACGGGTGCAGCAAGTGTGGGAAATCCTTCAATTGGAAGAACAAACTGAGCCGGCAGCTGAGGACGCACACTGGGGAGTGTCCCTACAAGTGCTCCGAGTACTGGAGTAGCTTCAGTGACCATTCGAACCTCATCTCCCACCAGAAGCTCCACCGGGGGGAAAACCCTATGAGTGCTTGGACTGTGGGAAGCGCTTCAGCCAGAGCACCAGCCTCCTGGCCCACCACCGGATCCACACAGGGGAAAAACCCTATGTCTGCTTCAGCTGTGGGAAACGCTTTGCCCGGAGGCAAAACCTCACCATGCACCAGAGCATCCACACTGGGGAGAGACCCTACTCCTGCCAGGATTGCGGGAAAAGTTTCCGGAGGAGCTCCGACCTCATCCGACCTTCATACGGGTGAACGGCCCTAAAAATGCCCGGACTGTGGGAAGGGTTTCACATGGAGCTCCAAGCTGATGGACCACCAGTGGACCCACACAGGGGAAGCCCCCTCCAGGTGCTTGGTGTGCAGCAAGCACTACAAGGCCAACATCTCCTTGAGGTCCCACGTGAAGCTGCACACATGAGATGGGCTCGCTGAGGGGCTGGTAGGGCCATGTCCTATGGGGAGATGGAGAGGAGGAAGGAGCTGTGGCCAAGGAGGGTCTGATGGGTGGATGGTGGCAAACATAGAACCTAGAAGTAGATGGGCTCACTGCTGAGATCATTCCTGAGTACTGGTTCTTTCCTTTTTGCACATTAGCATTAAAATGTTTTGGACTTTCCACTGTCTGTGTGTCAAGTGCTGGTTGAAACAAAACTCACCTTAGCTGGTTTCGGAGGTCCTGATTTCCCAAAACCTCTCAAACGCCCCCATTTCTGACTGAAATACACTCGGGCTTTTCTACTGCCACAACATCTTCCATTTTCCTGTTGAAACTTCAAATCTGCACCCAAAACCCTCTTACAAATCATACCCCTCCCCTTCCAGTCAGGGCTGCCTACATCAGAAAAATCCCCTCTGCAGTTCCCTCTCCCTCCAGGAATCAAAACCTCTCCTGAGGAGCTTCAGGTTCTTCCCACCTCCCATTTTTCCACCTTCCTTGTTCCTTTTCCCAATTAGTTTGGTGGAGGATCCGTGCATGGCCATGGACCCTATTCATGGGCTGCCTTCCTAGCTTGTCTCCTGCTCATGGACCTCCCAATGCTTAGGGCTGATCCTGCCCTGCTCCCCTTGCTTTACTTAGGAGTAACTGCCCAAGTTGAAGGAAAAGCATCACCCAAAGCTCTCGTTCTAGTGAAAAAAAAAAAAAGTTTTTTCTGGTGGGAAAAGTTTCAGGGGAAGGCCAGATCCTGCTGCACACCAGGAAATCTTCAGAGGCAATGAATCCCTAGGCTTCCAAATGCAGGAAGGGCTTTGGTGCTGGTGTGCACGTTAGGAATGACCCCAGTGCCTCCATGCTGCTATTAAAACCTTTTAATTAGCCATGGGAAACGGCTTGGAGTAGCCATTTGTCTGCCACAAGGATGTGAGGGCTAACGGAGCATGCTGATGACCTGCCAGCTCTCTGAGACCTTAATATCGGGAGTCCTGATGGGGAAATCAAGCATGGGGAAATTAATGGGGCTGTGAACCAGGTGCATTTCTGCACATATGGAGATGGCAGCCACACAGTTTTGCTGTTTTCCATGCTTTTTGCACACTGCCCAGGCACTAAATTTTAGCAAATCCAGCCCTGCCTCATCAATCCTTGCTTTTTCCCGATGCATCTCACACCGAGACCTCACAGCAGAAGACTTGGCCTCAAACCAAGCACGTGGGATTCACAAAGCACAGCTCCATTTGAGCCAAAAAAAAAAAAAGAAACTCTCCCACAGATCAGTCAGCTGTGCTGAGCTCAGCTCCGTGTCGTCCCCATCATCTGAATATCCATCAGCCCAAAAACACCTATCCATCTGGATTTCTCCCAAAAGAAATCGAGGTGAGAAGGTGCGAGTGTGCATAGCCAAGGGTGTTGGGCTCGCCCTTCATCTCACCCCCGTGTGCTCCCCCATCAAGTTGCTTCCCATGGAGCTGTTCTGCACTGCCACATCTGCTGCCAACAACTCAGCGGTGGGCGGTGGGATGTCTCCTGACTCTTCTTAAGCAGTGGCAGATGGCTTAGCAAATGGTTGAAATACTGCTTTTTTTTCTCGATTGCTCAATAGCTTTCACTTGCTTTGAGCAAAGCCAAGGCTGGTGGTGTCATCTGGGAATCACCTGCTAAGCACAAACACCCACGTCTAACTCTAGAGATGCTCTGTCGCAAAAATAAAATAATAATAATAAATAAAAGCCCAAGAGGAGATTTAATGGGACTAAAAAACAATTTTATTCTTTTTAGAGATGAGTTTCAGTTGCTCCTGAACACCCTAGCAGTCAGCAAATTGACTTTTGATGAGTAATTCCTTAAGAAAAAGAGGTGGAAAATCATGAGGTGTGCACACAGCAAACTCTTTTAGGAGAAATCAGAATTTCTACTCAGGCTTTGTCCTAAAGATACCAATCAGAGAATGGGGTTTATACGCATAGACCAAAAATAAGGGCTTTTCCACCCACTTTGCCTCGCTCTGACTAAACCCAGCTTGAAATAAATCGCCATGAATATTCAACGCACTGTGGGAGCACTGGGTACTCAGCGCAGAAGTGCAGAAACCCAGGGCAGAGCAGTGCAGGGATTTGGTGTTCAAACCTGTGCAATGGAACAAAATTGTTTGAACCTGCCATGGAACCAATGTGAAAGGTAAAAAAAAAAAAAAAAAAAAAAAAAAAGGAAAGAACACTTCTTAAATAGGAGGGAAAAAAAATCTTTAAAAGCTTTAATTCTTAGTAAGTTAAAAATGTGCTTTTCCACATCTTACCTGTTGACCCCTTCCCTAGCCAATGTTTTATGGAATTCAGCTGTTCTTTATAAATATAGGAAGAAGAAAAGCAGATGAAACTCTGCTGAAACTCAGACAACATCCCACAGATGTTACCTGAGGAAGAGCGGGTTCCTTTCCTTATGAGGTGCTAGAGGTTTAGGGTTGGACTTTTAGATCTCACCAGCTCCAGATGGGCTGACCCCATTCTTGCACAACGCTTTCTCCTCCACATGCAGTTTCTGGTGGGACACCTTGGCCTTGTAGCTCTTCCGGCACACTGAGCACTTGCAGGGAGCTTCTTCCATATGGCTCCTCTGGTGGGTGATGCACTTGGATGATGCACATTTTCAGGACATTTATAGAGTCTCTCCCCGCTGAGGGTCCTCTGGTGTCACACAAGGTCGGAGCTACTACAGAAGCTCTTCCTGCAGTCAAGGCAGCTGTAGGGTCTCTCCCTGGTGTCGAGTCACCAGCGAATAAAAAGGTTGGTGCTGTGGGTGAAGCTCTGTCCAAGCAAATATTTGGCTTCCCACACAAACGATGATTTAATTAAAGGGAAAAAAATAATAATTTTTTTTAACTAAAGGGAAAAAAAAAAGGAAAAAAGGAAAGGGGAAAAGGGAGGGGGAAAGGGGGAAAAAACAAACAAACAAAACAAATAAAGGCTATGTGGAAGTGCAGAGGAAAGAAATTACTCTCTACTTCCCACAAATGAGCAATGTTTGACCACGTCCTTGAAGCAGGGCCTCAACACAAGTAGCCGGTGTTCAGGAGGAGGACCGACGTTTTCACAATGAGAGCCCTCCCCCCCAACACCCCCTCTTCCTTTTTCCACCTTTTATTGCTGAGTGTGACATCACATGGTATGGAATATCCCTTTGGTTGGTTTAGGTCAGTTGGCCTGGTGATGTTTCTTTTCTCACTTTTTTTGCCCAACCCCTAGGAGGGTAAGAGGGAGTCCTGATGCTGTGCCAGCACTGCTCAGCAGCAGACACAACCCTGGTGTGATACCACTGCTGTTCTAGCTCCAAGTGCAGAGCACAGCACTGCAGGGAAAGTTAACATCCCAGCTAGACCCCATTTGCTTCTGCCTGCTGGGAGTCAACTGGCCGGGGCTTCTCCTCTTGGTGGCCACCAGCACCTGCTGGTGGAGAACAGGGACAAGATGGGAGCTGACCCACAGAAAATCAAGGGTCTCCACATCCATTGACCTTCTCATCCCATTGGCCTTCCTACCCTGTGCACTTTCTGATCCTATCGACCTTCCCCATCCCACTGACCTTCCCCACCCCATTGACCTACTCCCACATTGAACTTCCCCCTCTATTGACCTTCCCATCCCATTGACCTTCCCATCCCCCTGATGTTCATCCCATTGACCTCCTTATCCCATGCACCTTTCAACTCCATGCACCTTCCTATCCCATTGACCTTCACGCCTGTATTGATATACCTATCCCATGTACCTTCCCATCCCATTGATCTTCCTACCCCTTTGACCTTCCAACCCCATGAGCAGCTTTCACCCAATTCAACCCACAAAGGTTTGTCAAGGACAGACCTTGAGGGATCCTCAAGGGATGGGGAGTGGAGCAAATCTCCAGATGCCTCATGGGTACGTGCAGGACCTTAGGATAACAGCAGTGGGAACCATTTTCTGTGCATGGCTCCATTCTCCCTCTTCCCAAAATTCATGACCAGGATGAAGGAAAGGCTTATCCAGGGAAGGGAGAAATTTGGAGGAGAAAACACCTATTTTGAGTAAAGGGTAGTTACCTGGTGAGGCTGTGTTCTCAAAGTTGTTCTGCTGCGTGTCCTGCAATAGAAATTTCAGCTTCTCAGCCTCTTCCCCTCTACAGACTCACTGATGCACGATGCAACAGGAGCTCATGCTGAAACCCTTCCTGCACTCAGGGCATTTGTAGGGCCATTGACCCATGTGCAAGTGCTGGTTTCAGGTCCAGTGTCTCCTGCAGTTGAATGAGGGCCCACAGTGAGCATATACATAAACCTTTTTCTGGGAGAAAACTAGTGGCTGGGGCTCAGTTTCCCTAATGCTGCCTGGGCTTCCCCCTTGGTGGGTCCTGTCTCCCAGGCCCTTCCCCTTTTCCCTGTTATGGTTCTCCAAGGCTCCACCATGCCCCAGCTCCTCTCCATCACCCCATATCACCCCTCCAAGCCTTGTCCCACCTTCTCCTGGACCTTCTCAGGATTTCTCTTTTTCCTTCTTGCTCATTCTCCCCATACCTGCAAGAACCCCACAACCACGATATGCATGCAACCCTGCTAAAACCCCAAGGGAAGGTTTGGCCATGCAGCCCCATGCATCCAAGGTGCAGGACAAAGTGGGTGACGGAGGAGCTGCAACCTCCAACAAAACCCTTACAGGGCGAAAAGATGGAAGAGGCTCAAAGACCTTGCTGGATCACCCACATACACACAAATTTATTGCTTAGGCCGTTATCTTTTCTCCCAGCATCTCCCAGCCAAAATTAGACAGGGTGCTTCTGGAAAGTCGCACTTCAAGGGGGATTTGGCTCAGTTTCTTAGGAAAACAGGTAAGAAATCAGTGTGGGTTTGCATGAAGTTGCCCACCCCAAGCCCTGGGCTGCTTCCCCAAGCAATTCCTCAACTCCAGAGGCTGCATCTCCTCCCCTCTACACCCCAAAAAAGGGTCAGAGCAGTCCAGCTCCATCCCCATGCAGAGCCCATGCTGCCCACACTTCACATGGAAACTGTTCTGGTTTCAGTTAGGACAGTTAATTTTCCTCCTAGCAGCTGGTAGGGTGCTATGTTTTGGATTAGGATGAGAAGAGTGCTGATAACATGCTGGTGTTTTAATTTTAAGAGCAGTGCTTACACAAAGTCAAGGATGTTTCAGCTTTTCACTCTGTCCTGCCAACGGGCAGGCTGGGGGTGCAGTAAGAGCTGGTAGGGGACAGATCCAGCACAGCTGACCCAAACTGGCCAACGGGGCATTCTATACCATCTGACATCAAACAATATATAGGGGTGGCTAGCCAAGGTGGGGGGCTGGGTTGCTCGGGGTTAGACTGAGCATCTGTCAGCGGGTGGTGAGCAATTGCATTGTGCATCATTTGTTTCGTACACATTATTAATAGTAGCACTATTCTCATCATTATTGTTATTATTATTGTTGTTATTATTATTTTCCTGTCTTATTAAACTGTCTTTATCCCAGCTCATGGGCTTCACTTTCCCATTTCTCTCCCCCATCCCAGAGAGGGAGAGGGGAGGGTGAGCAAATGGCTGTGTGGTGTTTAGCTGCCGGCCGGGTCAAACCATAACAGAAACCCATCAGGATTTTATTAAGTGAAAAAAAAAATCTAAACATAAAACAATAGTGAAAAGAAGAACATTCGACCCTTTGCTTGATGCCAAGAGGGTACAGAAACAGCATTCCCCTCCCTCCATGGAGCAAGAAAATCCCCCACACTGCCTGGGATTTCAACAACCCCTCCATCACTGAATGCTTGAGTGCTGCTCATGAGCATTAAGCCCAGACTGAAAATAAGGGGGGGAGGAGAATCTGACTTACGATCTTTTTTTTTTTTGGCCCAGAAATGCCCAACAAGGGCGGCTTGATCAGACAATGAATGTGATACTTCTGCTGCAGCTGTCTCACCAGGCGTCCCTGCCTCCTCTGTTTCACGTGGGAGGACTGGCGTGACTGCCAGCATCCCTGGGGAATAGCATCACTGTTGCCAGGAGGACAGCTTTGATAAAGATTTCCAGCGTGCTGATCACCCTGCAGGTCTCCCAGCCCTGCAAAGGCTTCGGGAGCCACAGAGACCTGATGCAAACAAGAGGCGACGCAGCAGGGAGGATGCTGTCCGAGGGGGACTCCCTGAGCTTTGCCTTCGGTCCCATTTCTCTTCTTCTGGGAATCTTGGGGAAGAAGAACCCTGTCCCAAATGGTGCTGGAGCGTCACCCAAAGCTTGTCCTTATAGCAAATTATCCTTGCAGGGCACAATCTGCTCCTCTTGCATCTTAATGCATGTGCATCCTCATGTGGCACATCAGGGAAATCTTGGTCCTGTAGCAATTCCCACACTTGGAGCACCTGTAGGGAGTTTCTCCTGTGTGGGTCCTCTCGTGCTTCAGGCATTTAGTGCTCATGGTAAAGCCCTTCCCGCACTCATGGCACCTGTAGGGTCTCTCCCCGGTGTGGATCCGGTAGTGAACAACCAGGTGTGAGGTGTTGCTGAAGCTCAGCCCGCACTCGGGGCATTTGTGGGGTCTCTCCCCAGTGTGGAGCTTCTTGTGCTGTTTGAGGTTGGAGCTGCGACTGAAGCACTTCCCGCAGTCAGAGCAGAGATAGAATTTCTCGGATTTGTGAACCGATCTCTGCTGTCGGAGCTTGGTGCTATCACCTGAGTTTTATCCCACTGTCGGGACACTTGCAGCACTTCTCCAGCTGGTGGGAAGCAAGGTCGGAGCTGTCATCAAAGCTGTTCCCACACTCGCAACACTTGTGGGGCTGCTCCACCATGTGCAGCTGCTGGTGTTGGCTCAGGCTGTTGCTACAGTGAAAGGTTTTCCTGCAGTTGGCACACTCGTGCGTCTGCCCTTCAACACAGATACCTGGATGCACACCCGATTCTTTGGGATCCTCCAAAGTGCCTTCAGGATCATCCAGATCCTCCTGCCCTTGCACAGGCATGGCTCCACTTCTGACTGCTCTTTTAGAGCCTCATCCTGCTCAGGATCCTGGCACGCAGCCCCTTCCTCCATCCTCATGCTGGGGCCATTTGCTTCTGTCTGCTGGGAGTCAACTGGCTGGGGCTTCTCCTCTTTGTGGCCACCAGCACCTGCTGGTGGAGAACAAGGACAAGATGGGAATTGGCCCACAGAAAATCAAGGGTCTCCACATCCCACCGACCTTCCCATCCCACTGACCTCCCCACCTCATTGACCTTCCCATCCCATTGACCTTCCCACCTCATTGACCTTCCCATCCCATTGACCTTCCCACCTCATTGACCTTCCCATCCCACTGACCTTCCCACCTCATTGACCTTCCCATCCCATTGACCTTCCCACCCCATTGACCTTCCCACCCCACTGACCTTCCCACCCCACTGACCTTCCCATCCCCATTCAACCTTCCCACCCCATTGACCTTCCCATCCCACCGACCTTCCCATCCCACTGACCTTCCCACCTCATTGACCTTCCCACCCCATTGACTTTCCCATCCCATTGACCTTCCCATCACATTCACCTTCCCACCCCATGCACCTACTCATGCCATTGATCCTTCATCTCATTGAGATTCCCACCCCATTCACCTTCCCACCCCATGCACAGCCCCAACTCAACCCACGGAGGTTCTCAAGGATAGACCCACCATGGAGAATGGAGCTTTGCTCATGGGTATGTGCGGGACCTTAGGATAACAGCATGGGAACCATTTTCTGTGCATGGCTCCATTCTCCCTCTTCCCACAATTCATGACCAGGATGCAGGAAAGGCTTATCCACGAAAGGGAGAAATTTGGAGGAGAAAACACCTATTTTGAGTAAAGGGTAGTTACCTGGTGAGGCAGTGTTCTCAGAGCTGTTCTGCTGGGTGTCCTGCGATGGAGAATCCTGCTGGTCAACCTTCTCCACAAGATGGACCTTTTTATGAGCATTACAGCGGAAGTTCTGGGTGAAACCCTTCCCGCACACGGGGCACTTGTAGGGTTTCTCACCCGTGTGCACCGTCTTGTGGCGGACGAGGTCGGAGCTCTTGCGGAAGCTCTTCCCGCAGTCCCGGCACTCATAGGGCCTCTCGCCCGTGTGGACGCGGCGGTGCATGATGAGGTACTGGTGGCGGGCGAAGCGCTTCCCGCAGTCGGGGCACACGTAGGGCTTCTCTTCGGTGTGCACAGACTGGTGGGCGATGAGGTGGGAACTCTGGATGAATTTCTTCCCGCAGCTCAGGCACTTGTAGGGCTTCTCTCCGCGGTGGAGCATCTCGTGGATGAGCAGAGGGGAGCTGTCGTTGAAGCCCTTCCCACACTCAGAGCACTTGTAGGGCCGCTCGCCTGTGTGCAGGCGCTGGTGACGGACCAAGTTATGCCTCCAGTTGAATGTCGTCCCGCACTCATTGCATTTATACGCTCCCTTCTTGCGTTTGGCTTTCACCTGCGGCTTTCTTTTGCCACCCGTGCTTTCCTGCTCACCTTCTTGCAACCCCTGCCTGGTTTCGTGTCCTTCACAGCTTTCTGAGCCTTCTCCGTGCCCCAGCTCCTTGTCCTCCTCATCCTCCTCATCGTCTTCTATCACCACTATGTCTTCCCCCACCTGCACGTGCACCGTGTGCCTCGCCTTCCCCTTTTCATTCTTGCTCATCCTCTTCATCCCTGCAGCAACAGAGAGAAGACCTTGATGCAGCCGTGCCCGCTCCCACGGCACTCATCCTTCTAGGCACCTGCCAAATCCCTCCCCAAGCCTGCCATGCCACAGCTTCCCCCACCCCATCCCCTCTGTCCTCACCCATCCACTCCCTTAATTTTTTTTATTTAATTTTTTTTTTGGGGGGGGGGTGCTCAACCCACCTGCAAGGTGTGTTTCGCTCCGCGTGTCGGGGAGGAGGGATGCGTGAAACCAACCCGCTCCCAAGGGGATGGGGGGTCGGGGGGTCCTGGAGGACCCCAACCCTATTCCGCCACCCCTCTGCTTCACACCCCCAGACCTTCCCCCCAGCTTTCCACCCTCCCCCGCTGCAGCCTCCGCTCGCCCTTGTCCCAGCCCCTTCCTGTGTCTCTGCACACCCAACCGGGCTGCAACCGGCCCCGAGCAGTGCTGCAGAGGGGGCTGCGGTCATGAGGGGGCTGCGGGGGGGGCGGGCATCCTCCCTGCTTTGCTTTATCCCATGATCAAAGCCAGGCGGGAGAGCAGCTCGGGGGGCGGGGAGGGGGATCCTTCAGGGTGCAGCCCCCGTCGGGGCTTCCTGAAAATTTGGGTCAAAAAATGGGTTTAAGGGAGAGCTTGCATCCCGCGCAGGGTTTGCATTGGTGTCTGCAAATTGAATTTGCCGTTCGGGCTGGATTTCGTGACATTTTGCTTTTAAAAGAGGCTCACAAGGGATGTCAGGGGAAGTGGGAGGGGGTGATACCAAATTCCATGAAACCAAAAGCAAAATAACAGGAGGACTCAACTGGAAAAGACAAAATGTGGTTGGCTTGTGGAAATTAAACCTGGAGTTCAGTTTATCGGGATGAAACAGGAGAAGAAATCCTCCTGAGTTTGCAGGTGAGGAAATGCTGGTACCGACAGAGGTTTGCTCTCATGGAGATGTTCTTTAGGAGAGCCAGAGCATGGGGTAAAGCTGGTTTCGAGCTGGGAATTATTTTGTCATCGTGGTTTCTGAGGCTGGTTGACTTGTTCTTGGATGTTTTACCCAGAGATGGGCTTGGGTTGCACACCAGCATGGGGTGCATGGGTTGGATAAAGCAATTCCCTGACCCACAGGCTGCATCTCCTCCCCTCTGCTTCCCTGGAAGGGCCAGAGTGGGTAATTTGCAAGGAAACTCATCAGAATTTTATTATATGTAAGAATATGTAAGGCAGTCGAGGCAAAAATAAGAGAAAGAGGAAAGAACAAAGGGGAAAAAGACAAAGAAATAATGTTCCCCTCTTTGCTCGCTACAGAGGGTACAAAACCTGGCTTCTGCCAGGGAGCAAGAAGATGCTTGAGATCTTGCAAATCCCCCAAATGCTTGAGATTTCACAAATTAACAGTGCCCACAAGGTTTAACCTCAGCCTGAAGCCAAGATGAGCATCACTGAAATCAGCTTTTCTGGCCCCAAAATGCCTGACGTCACTAAGATGGGACTTGTGTTGGCTCCTCATTCTCATCCTCGTCCTCATCCTCGTCCTCGTCCTCTGCCATTTCTTGTTCCACCTAGTCTTTGAGATTCCCTTTCCTTCTTGCTCATCCTCCCCATAGCTGTGGGGATGAGAACCCTGCCTGCAGCAGTGCCTGCTAAAACAGTGCCAAAAGGTTGGATTTGATGATCTTAGAGGTTTTTTTCTGACCTAAAATTCTGTGATCTTGTGGAAATCCCACAGGAGGGCTTGGCCATCCAGCTCCACGTGGAGTTGTGGGGTGGAGGGGCTGCCCCACACCTGGACCCGAAGCCCTGCTCCACCACCTGGTGTTAACTCGTGCATGGGCTCTCCCCTCCTCCCCCCCAAAAAAAACAAAAAACAAAAAACAAACAAACAAACAAACAAAAAACACTCCTGGGGCTCGGCCTGACATTTGCTGCTTGATTTGGGGCATCAGCATCCACTGAAAAAAAGGGAGAAAGGGGGGAAAAAGGAGGAAAATGGGAGGGGGGGAGAGAAATAGAGGGGAAAGGGAGAAGGGGAGGAAAGGAGGAAAATGGAGGGAGAAAGGAGGGGAAATGGTGAATAGGATGGGAAAAGGGAAGGAAAAGGAGGAAAAGGAGGGGAAAGGGAAGGGAAAGGGAAGGAAAGGGAAGGAACGAGGGGTGCAAAGGGTGAGACGAGGGAAAAAGGAAAGGAAAGGGGGGAACAAGGAGGGAAAAGGAGGAAAATGGGGGGAAAGTGGGTAAAAAAAGGAGGGGAAAAGGGAAAAGGTAAATGGGAAAAAGAGGGGAAAGGGGAGAAAGAGGGGAAAAGGTAAAAGAAGGGGAAAAGCAGGAGAAAGGGGAAAAAGGTAGGGAAAAGAGTAAAAAAATAGAGAGGGAAAGGGGGGAAAGAGGGAAAAGGAGAGAAAAGGAAGGAAAGGGAAGGTAAGGGTGGAAAATGGAAGGAAAAGGAGGGAAAAGGGGAGGAAAAGGGGAAAAAGAGGGGAAAAGGGTGAGAAAAGAGGAAAAAAGGGGGAAAAGGGTGGGAAAGGGGGGCAAAAGAAGGGACAAGGTGGGGAGGAAAAGGAAAAAGGGGCCAAAGGAGGGAAAAGGGGATGAAGGGTGCAAAATGGGTTTGGGGTAGAGCGGGGCAGCCCCTCTGCTTGCCCCCAGGGATGGGGGCTCCCCCCAGTCTCCGCCACCCCTCACCGGTCCCGTCGTCCGCCGCCGCTCGCCCTTGTCCCAGCCCCTTCCTGTGCCCCGCAGCAGCACCGGGCTGCAACCGGCCCCGAGCAGCGCTGCGGGCACGGGGGGGGGGGGGGGAGGCTACGGGGGGCCCAGGCATCCCCCCGCTTTGCTTTATCCCATGCACAAAGATCCCTGGGGAGCATCCCTTGGGTGAGCATCCCCATCCCAACAGCGCTTTCTCCGCTTTTGGGTTAAGAAAGGGGGAAAACCGACCTCCGCGGTTTTTTTTTTGTTTTTTTTTTTGGTGGGGGGGGGGAGGGATCTTTGAAACGGAGGGATGCTCCAGATTTCTCGCATGGAGCTGAACGTGGAATAAACAGAACTGCCATAATCAAACAGCTTGGGAGACGTGTTTGGGATTTAAGGGATCCTCCAGCAGTTTTTTTTGTCTCCAGCATTTAGAGTTCAGAATTGGGAAGGGTTTGGATCGAGATGGTCATTGGGGAGAAGGGAAAGACCCCCTAGACCCATCCTCTCTCATTTAATGACATGGTGCAAATACCACCGGGCAATACCTGACCGCCCCCACGTTATCAGCTCTCACAAACCAAACCCTACATCAGCTCAGGGCCACCAGGAGAAAAATCCTGCAGCAAAACACATGAAAGTGAATATTTGGGTCAAACAGGGTGATGTTTTTTGTGCTGAGTGGAAAGAGGAGGATGCGATGTTGGAGGGAAGTGAGAGTGTCAAGCAGGACTTGGGAGTAAAGCTGGAAGTGAACAAACATGAATCTGAAAGGCTGCGTGGAAAATTATTTTCAGCATTATTTTATAGAGAAAGGAAAATTCAGAGTGCTTCTGTTTACTAGGCAGTGTTTCCTCCGCACACACATTTTTCTCTGCATGGACCCTACGGAGATGCTGGGAGGGTCTTGGGTGTGATGTCCCATGGGCGACGCAAGACCCCTGCCTCCCACCAAAGGCACCTAAGGCAATCGCCTACATGGCCGCATCCATACTTCAGACCCAAAACCCTCATTCTACCCCAAGAAACACCTTCAAGGGACATCAGTGTCCCCCAGACATCTCCAGATTGCCCTTCTGAGGTCACTGGTCACAGGAGACCAAGGCGGGGGCACCACATCCCTGAAATTTCTCCCCCTCAGGAGAAATTTCTCCCCTCGGGACACCGGGACAGGTTGCCCAAGGAAGCCAACGGGTGGCCATCGCTGGAAGAGCTTGAGGTTGGGCAGGGCTTTGAGCACAGAATCACACAAGGGTTGGAGTTGGAAGGTACCTCCACCTGCTCCCAGCTCAACCAGCATCGGGATGTCCATCTCCAGGTGGCTTGGAGCATCTCCAAGGTGGGAGACGCACCGCGAGCAACCTCATCAGGTGAAAGGTGCGATCTTTAAGGGTCCTCCAACCCACCCCATTCTATGACCCCACCATCCGTAGCACATCGCCCCCCACGCACGCCCCTTGCTCCTCGCCATAGTCAGGTAGTACTCGTACAGCCGCTCTCCCTTGTGGATGAGGAAGGGGGGTGACCAGGTTGGAGAAGTCGCCAAAGGTCTTCCCACAATCCGGGTGCTTGTAGGGTCATTCCCCGGTGTGGCCCCGCTGGTGTCACCTCAGGCTGTTTGGACCTCCATGAGCAAAGGATTGAACGTCCAAGAGCAAAGAATTGGGCCTCCATGGGCAAAGGATTGGGCCTCCAGAAGAAAAGCACCGGACCTCCATGGGCAAAGGGCTGGACTCCACAAATCAAGGATTGGGCCTCCACAAGCGAAAGATTGGGTGACCGATCCACACCATGGTGTCACCCATTCCACAGTGTCACCCACCCCTTGGTCACCCATACCTGGTGTCACCCAACCCACAATGTCACCTATCCCCTTGGTGTCACCCACCTATGGTGTCACCTATCCCTTTGGTGTCACTCAACCCATGGTGTCACCCAACCATGTCACCTATCCCCCGTGTCACCCAACCCATGATGTCACCTATCCCTTTCCCATCAACCACATATGTATATCCCCTTG